AAAAAAATGTATATTTTTAAAATTTTCTTTAAAAAAATTCAATTATTTACAAAAATATTAGAATTTTTCACAGGAATTCAATTATTTTCAACTATTTTATTAAATTGTTCAAAACAAATGCAATTGTTTTAAATACAATTTTAATTCCATTTTTTTTAAATAATTCAATTATTCTTTTAGATTATAATAAAATTCTTCAAAAGAATTCAATTATGTCGATAAATATCAGAATTATTCTCGAAATGCAATTATTTTCAGTCATTTTAATAAAATTCTTTGCTAAATTCAATTGTTTTCATAAATAACAATATTCATCACAAGAATTCAATTATTTTTAAAAATAATAAGTTTCTTTTTGAAAGTTTAATTATTTAAAAAAATTTTAAGAAAATCGTTCTCAAGAATTCAATTTTATTATTTTCATAAATAATAAAATGCTTTTGAGGAATTCAATTATTTTCAAAAAAATTTAATAAAATGCCACACAGACATTTAATTATTCTCAAAAATTTTTATTAAAATTCTTTGTAAAATTTAATTATTTTAAAGCATTTGTCGCAATTCAATGATTTTCAATATCTACTATTTTCATAAAATTTCCAAGCAGAATTATAGCTACTTTTTTACTACTTTTTTTTAGTTTGAAAGCTACTTTTTGCTACTTTTTTAAAATTAATTATCGAGTGCTAAGTCTGGAAATGAAAGAGGGAAACAAAGATAAATGGAAATAAATATCGAGAGAAAGAAAAAAGAGAGAATGAAATACAAAATAAAAAACGAAAGAAAGAATGAAAAAAGAAAGAGTGAATGAAATACAAAATGAAAAACGAAAGAGAGAACAAAAAAAGAAAGAGTGAATGTAATACAAAAGGAAAAACGAAAGAGAGAACAAAAAAAGAAAATGAAAAAAAATAATGAAGGAAAGAATGAAAAATGAAAGAGAAAGAGAGAATTAAATGAGAAAGAAAAAAAATGATGTAGAGGGGAAGGGGGAGAAGGAATATTTTCTTCTTCCTTACAGGAGAAAAAAAGTTTTTTTTTCTCCCTCTCATTTTTCCTTTCCCAACGAATCGCTGCAGAATTCATCTAACCACCGGTTGCGGAACATTGACTTCCGTCCACCCAAGAAACGGTTACGATAGTGAACACTCGAGTGTGTTCTATGGCGTTTACGTTCAAGTTTTCACATAAACCACGAATTTTCACGATCCGCGTCACTTGAGAAGGATTCAAGTGAGCAGAATACTCGTATTTAGAGTTGCGAGAGAAAAACGAAAATCGAGAGCGATGGAACGTGATAGTGAATTATAAATGAAAATGCGAAGTAATGGAAAACTTTTCTCTCTTGTAATTTAGAGAAAAAGTTTTTTGTTTTTATTTTTTGGGAGAAAAAATTAAAGTACTAAGATAATAGTGGATGAAAAAAAATTATATTTCTGGGGGGAATCGAACTCGTGAAGACTTGGTGGTGGTCGAGTACTCTTCCACTCAGCTAACGACTATTTTTTAACGATGGTATTCAATTTAGAAAATTTTTTGTTTGTTCGATTCAAAAAGGGATTGATTTTAAAAAGTTTAGATCTGTTAAATATTGAACCGAAATTGTATTATTTTATTATTTGTAATGTTATGTTAATTCCATTTTTTATTATATAATATATTGTTTTATTAATTCTCTCAAATTTCGTCTTCATAAACTTTCAAGTTAAGTAAAAATTCGTTTAATAATATACACAAGAGATTGAACAAAATATAAATAGACATTTGAATGGAAATCTTTCGTTTTTCTTGTGACAAGCAGAAACAGGTGACATTTTTTCTTCTTTTTATTTATTTATTATTGTTAAATTTGTATACATATGTGAATAAAAATAAATGCTCGATGTGTTGCGCAATATAATATATCTGTTATCTCTTCTCGTCGATTGTTATTTTCATTTGTCTTGTGTCTCGACTAATATCATAAAATCGTCAGAGAGAAGAGACGTATGTCTTTGCAATCGTCAAGTCATTATTATATATTTATCTTCATTGCGACAGAGGTTTGCTATCCGTGCATCGATCATTCAGAAACTATAGTCGTTATGACGCTGTCACGATCACCTGCACATTCTAGGAAATGTGTGCGCATACAAATACATATTTGTCGAGTGCTTTCATAATTTTCCTTTTTTTTGCCCCCCTCCCCCCACCTTCATTTTTTTTCTCTTCATCCAACTTCTCTTAGTCTTTAAATACCAGAAAAAAAAGAATTGCTCTGAAAAATTGCTTTAAAAATTTACACATAGTTGATTACGTGATTAGAAGACATTTAGTTGTTTGGTCACGTCAATGTTGATTCGTTTGTATTCGTAAAATATATACTTTATTGGAAAAATAATTGCATTCTTGTTTAAGAAATGTATGTGATTTAAAAACAGGTTCTTAACTTGAAAGACTGTTTTTTTAAATTGAGAATTTATTGTTTATTATATCGGTGATATATCATGTGTGAAGAAAGTACAATAGATTTAAAGTTAGTTTAATTTTGATACTTTTCTTGTTTTTAATTTTGAATTTCGCGCCAAAATAATTTGTGAATAATTTTCTCAAAATCGAGACGATGTGGGGCTATAACAAAATTTACTTTGCAATTAATGAAAGATGATAAAAATCTAACAAAAAAAAAATATTTAACCTAAATTTAAAAAAAATTTTGTTAGATTTTTTTCCATTTCTACCATTTTTAAATCAAATTTTACTATTTCAGAAGTAAATTTTACTAAAATTAACTTCTAAAGTAAATAACTTTTACTTCAATTATAATAAAATTTATTCCAAAAGTGGTCAAACTTCACAAAAATAGAAGAGAAAAATTAAGATCTAAACTCTTTGTATTCTGTAGATTTTTCCAAATTTTTACCATTTTCATAAGAAACTTTACTATTTTAGAAGTAAATTTTACTAAAATTTAATAAGTTTTACCTCAGTTATAAATTAAAATAGAATTTAGTCCAAAAATTATAAAAGTTGAAAACAATTTTAAAATACAAATTTTACTGTTTATGGAGTAAATTTTACTAAAATTCAGTAATTTTTTACTTTAGGTAAAATATATTTTACTCCAAAAATGAAGAAAATTGACAGTGATTTAAAAAAAAATTTGGGTTTTAAACTTTTTGAAATTTTTGCCCACTTCTTTTAATTTTAACCATTTTCAGAGCAAATTTTACTGTTTCATTTTGTAAATATTACTACAATTCAGGAACTTTTACTTTAGTTAAAATAGAATTTTATTTCAAACTTCGTTCAATTTTTATCATTCTCAGAGCAAATTTTACTGTTTCAGAAGTAAATTTAATAAAAAAATACAGCCATTTTACATTGTTTATACTACAAAAATTGAATCCAAAAATCAAGTAAATTGTTAGAAATCCAATAAAAAAATTGAAACTAAATTTTTTTTCAAATTTTTGGTCATTGCTTTCAATTTTTACAATTTTTAGTACAAATTGTACTATTCCAGAAGTAAACTTTACTAAAATTTTGGTAAATTTTACTCAAAAATCATAGAAATTGATAGAAATCTAATAAAAAAAATATAAACTAAATTTTTTTGAAATTTTTGGGCATTGCTTTCAAATTTTTACAATTTTTACAACAAATTTTACTATTCCAAAAGTAAATTTTACTAAAATTCAGTAATTTTTACTTAGGTTATAATAAAATTTACTCCAAAATTGATGGAAATTGTTTAAAATTCAATAAAAAATTCAACCCAACTTTTTTTGAAATTTCCTTTTTTTCAATTTTTACAATTTTTAGAACAAAATTTTTCTTTGATTATAATAAACATTATTTTTAAAATGGTAAAAATTGTCAAAAGTACCAAAGAAAAATTCAGTTCTAAAATTTTTGTAATTTCTGCTAATTTTCTTCAATTTTGACCATTTTTAGAGGGAAATTTACTCTTCTAGAAGTAAATTTTAATGAAATTTAGTAAATTTACTTTGGGTATAGTAAAATTTATTAGAAAAAGGGTAAAAGTTATCAGAAATCCAATAAAAACTTCAAATTTATACTTTTTCTAATTTTTTTTTTTTATTTCTTTCAATTTTAATAATTTTTACAGTAAATTTTAAATAATTTTAGTAAAACTGAATAAAATTCAGTCGATTTAAAAATTTTAAACAGTTTACTAATTTTACTTTGTCAATAGAACACAGAAAGAAAATTTGTTAATTTTTTTTTCTGTGTAGTTTTCAGATGGTGTTATTTCAACACAATTCTTGTGTTATTTTAACAACCCATTAAAAATGTAAAGAAATTAAAAACACTCTAGTGTTAATTTAATACCAAATGTAGTGTTTTCACTTTTAGTGTTAAAATAACACTTCTTTTTTTCTGTGAATATTTCTTAAATTGAGAAAAAAATTATCCCTCTCCAGTATATAGTATTTGATAAATATTCTATTTCACTGCAAAACGTGTGAGTGTATCTTTTCTTCTTCTTCTTTTTTTTTGATATTTCCGACTTGTTGTATTTATATTTACTTGGCGATTTGATATATAAAATGCCTGTTTGTTTGGGAGGATCGATTAACGATAACGCGTCAATTAAGTGAGATCATCGAGTTCGAGGTCGATGGGCAATAATCGATGCCTTCCTCCGGGAATGAGAAACGCTTTCGAAGTTGATTATGAAACTTTTCATTCGTGTAGATTATATACATATATATATACGTATATCGTAAACTCGAAAGTGCAACCAATCACGTACGAATAACAGCATCAGATATATATCTAAAGAACTTGAATACTTTTATTATTATAACAGCAATGGCTGATCCTACGTTGCGTAACTGTTTGATCTTATCAGGATTCTTATCAATAAACACCTTGTTCATGAACGTATACATATATATATAACGGGATCTTTTTTCCTTTTTGCAAAAATTACACCAAGTGTATATATATATATATATATATTATAAATCTATATATACCTATATATAAATAATATGGCGTGTAACGGACCCATGTATTACATAAAGGTCACGGGATCAGAAATCATCCAAGATTTTGTATTTTTTTTCTCCCTTCGGTTTTGAAAAAAAAATATAAGGCTTCCGCGATTAAATTTCTTTAAATACCATGAAGCACTTGAATATATGGATAATTACAGTGATATTGATTAAAAAAAAACAAAAAAAATTGAATATGACCTGTTGCAATTTTTTCCTCGGGTAATTAATCTTAATGGAAAAAACGTTTTTTCGTTGGTGGGGGAAAACAAAAATGCCTCTGAATCCAATTTAAACAAGCCACACGCATCTATGTATATATAGAAGTTGGAGAGGGGGGAGAAAAATTGCAACGGTTTCTATATAGATTACGTTGAACCCAGTCTAACGAGTTTTCGATATTTTTTTTGTTACAGGTAAGCCACCTTTGATTCCAATAGCTATTAAGGGGTGTAGCATCGCTTAGTGTTAAGGTCGGATCGACAGATAGAAAATTTTCCCACTCTCTCTCTCTCATTTTTGCAATGTGTGTGAGTGCTGCGGATGGAAATTGGATACCGAGGAGAGGGACTTACTCAACCGTGGAATCTTATCGGAACAGGTAACACACATATAGCGAGTAAGAAAAAGAGTGAGTGAGAGAGAGAAAATGCAGTAATTTCTACACACTGTTGAGGGTTTTGTGGTTACTCACTTATCTCTCATCATGGTTTCTCCTTTTGTCTTTCTCACCGTTTTGAATCTTTGGTTTTTTTTTTCTTTTTGTGGTTTTTTTCTCTTCGTCAGTTCCACTCAACTCAGTGTTGTAAACTAATCAATTTATATTTTTAATTTTTATATGTATTCACATGTATTTATATACATATATATATATATTTATACGTGTGTCAGATTTCCGCATTGAATTATGCAAAAATTTGACCTTTTACTTTTATAAAGATCAAAGTTCATGATTCGGGATAAATTCGATTGGTATTTAGAAATTTGTTATTGCATCTTTCGGGTATTTTATTAATTATTATTATTTATTATTTATTCCAGCGTGGAAGTTTCATTTAACTGATATTTTTATCAAGGAAATTTTTTATCGAAACGAATTTCTTATTTAAGAGAAATTCTTTAGTTTGAGACAATTTTTATTTAACGGAATTTTCCCCTTTAGGGGAATTTTTATTAACTGAATAACTGAGTTAGAAGAAATTAACTATGTCTTTTTGTTGTATATTATATTATTTTACTATGTTATAATTATTTTTATTTTATAATAAATTCAAAATTTTGTTTATCTTAATTTCAATTTAATAATTTCTTTTTAATTAACTGAATTTTTAATTGAATTCATTTAAATTCTTGAAATTGTAATTCTATTTAACAGACTTTTTTATTTGACAGAAGTTTTGTTAAATAAAAATTCCTCCAATTTAAAGTTTTATTAAACTAAAATTTTATTCAGTAAATTAGTAAATTGAAATTGTGTCAAGTAAAATTTGTATTCAACAGAATTTCTAAATTTTCTTTCAGAAGTTTGATTAAAATACATTTTTATAACTAATATTTTATTTAATTAAATTTTTATTTAACATAATTCTCATTTAGTAGAATTTTTATTCAACATAATTCTCTTTTCAGAAGAATTTTTAAAATTCTATTTGGCAGCTCTGTTAAATAAAAATCTCGCTAACTGGAAATTCTGTTTGTTGGAAATTTTGTTTAATAAAAATTTTTCTAAATGGAAATTCTGGTAAATAGAAATTCTGGTGAACAAAAATTTTATTAAATAGAAATATTCTATTAAATAGAAGTTTTGCTAAATGGAAACTCTGTGAAATAAAAATTATGCTAAATGAAAATTCTGTTAAATAAAAATTCTATTACCTAAATGGAAATTTTGTAAAATAAAAATTCTGTTAAATAGAAATTTTACTAAATCAAAATTGCATTAAATTCCAGTAATAAATTCGGATTAATTGTGCTAAATAAAAAAAATTGTGCTAAATTAAAAATTCGATTGAACTGAAGAATTCGTTTACGGATATAATAAAATTATTACCTCAAATGGAAAAACTTGTTTGGTCGACTCTTAAATCCGAGTGCTCGGGGCTAATCAGTAATTTTTGTTAATTGTAAAATGTTTAATGCAGAAGAAACACACCTTGTGAATTGCGTGAATTAATCAAGCTTTACTTTTTCTTTTTTCTTTTTTTTTACAAAAGACGAGATTAATCTAACGGATTTTACGGTTTGTTAACCCCTCTAATGGATTTGTACAGTTCATTTACCCGTTGAACTGAATAATAATGTTTCCATACAGTGCAAAAGCGAATAACAATAATAATAATAAAAATAATAATAATAATTATTATAATAATATATAAATAAAAAAATATATTTTATTTTAATTCCATTATTCATAGTTTTTTCGGTTAACAAATGGAAAATTAATTTTTTTTTCCATTTCTCGTGACAGTAAAAACGAGAATTGAATTATTACTTTTGTCAAAGAAATTCAAAATAAACACTTTATCGCGGTTTCGGGATTTAAAGAAATAAAAGAAGTAGAAGAAGAACATTGATTTATTGAATACGAGAGTAAATTTGTGTCGATTTCTGTTTGACTGTTAGCAGCACGAAATGCCAATTCTTTTTTTATTACTAAATTATTAATATTTTCCTCGCGTGCTTCTTTCTCACTTTTTATCGTTTTATTTTTCAAATTTCCGTCCTTTATTTACTTTTCTTTTTGCGCCTCATTATGGGATACAATTCCTGTTTGTCTCTGTCTTGTAGATTCATTGTCTCTCGGGGGGATATAAATGTTTTCTTTTTCATACAACTCTTTTTTTCCTCCACCTCCTCATCCACCTTCTTCTTCTCTGTCGAATGTGTTTGATTTTCAGTAAAAACAATTAAAGTAAAATTAATTCTTTTTGGAATTAAACGTAATAAAATAAAATAGTATTAAAATAATAATTAGTAACGTCATAAAATAAAATAGAATTGAAATAATAATTATTAATGGTCCACAAGTTTTTTTTATTATTTAGTGAAATAGACTTTAATCGATTCAAAAAAAAAAATGCTTATATTTGATTTTTTTCTCCTCTGATTTATTTTTCTCATTTCTTTTCCGATCTTTTTATTGAATTAGAAAGACGAATTATTTTTTTTTCTTTTTTATTTGCTTTATCGTGAAAATTCTTCATGTAATGAGAACTGCTTTAAGAGAGTGAGAGAGAGAGAGAGAGATGATTTTTGCGATCTTTTATTTTCTGCTGAATTTTTCCTAGGGAGTCGTTGTGACTTCCGACGACTTTGCCCCGAATGTGAAGGTTGGCGAACGTTGGATATTCGCACTTCCTGTAGAAAATTGATTTTTGCTGGCGATTTTTGTGTGGAACACAAAACTCTCCCTCCCTCCTTCTTTATTTGTCCCGGATCATGAAGACTTATATCGTGCATTACTCGAGAAAATTACCTTATACCGCAATAGGGATATTCACCCTCTTTTTCTCTTTCTCTCTCTCTGAGAATTTTCATTTGGCTCCTATATATAAACACATATTTGGCTACGTTCATCGGATGTCCATGTCGAATAGAAAACTTTAAATGTCTTTAGTATAAGTTATCTCGCGTGTTGTCTATATCATTTCGCGGAAAGTAAAATGGCGCTCTTTGGATCAAAAGAAAGAGGGGGAAAAAAGAGAAAAAGGAGGGAGAAAAAATTAAAAGAGAAAAATAGTCTCCTTTATTTATACGTGATTATTCAATTGATGACCGTCGTCTTGTGGTTATCGATTGCAAATAAAACGCAGTCGAAGAAATTCATACTGATGACTCACAGAGAATAATATTTCTTTCCGGGAAATGACACCAATTTACCTTTCGTTTGTCACTTTAGAAAAGGAATATTTTGCTCTTTTTTTTCTGCAAAAATTGAAAATTTATTTTTAATGGTCGAAATTTACACTGAAAAAAGAATTAAAAGAATTAAAGCCACGCAACCCGCTGGATAAACTATGGCAAACCTGGAAATGTCAGGAAATTTTATAAACCTTGGAAAAAACCTGGAAAAGTCAGGAAATTTTAATCGAAATCCTGGAAAATTATTGTTTTCTAAAGTTATTGAGCTTATTCTTGAAATCTAATTTTATTTTCTTATTTTATGAAGGAAGAAAATTTCGTTCTGTATGTAATATATTCGTTTTCTAAAAACGAAGGAATATCTGTAATGAACCACGATAATTTGAAAATAACTAATTTACTTTAGGGCTGAAGGGAAGGGAATTAAACGAGAGTCAAATGACTAGGCAATTAGATAAGAATGTTTGTCGTAGGTTATAGAGGGCAATTAGCATAATGCTTATTGGTACACATTAATAAGTTATAACGACGTTGATCTCGATTCACTTGTTGAAGGTTGATAAAAAAAATTTCTCTGCCTTTCGTTTATTACCATAATTATTGTATAAAACCTCTCTTCTCTCTCTCTCACACAACGTTATAAAAGGAATTTCAAGGCAATATAATACATGTGCTTTCATATATATTTTCTGCTCATTAGGAATCTGCGCAGGATATTTTTGTTATTGTTGTTGTTGTTGAGTTTTTGAAATTTATATATCTATTTTATTCGAATACATTGGAAAAATTCGTGGAGAAATTCTTTTTTTCTAATTTTTGAAATTTTTAGTTTCATTCATTTACTATCTATTTTTTTTTACTTTCTATTTTATTTATTTTTTTATGTCTATTTTATATTTTAACATAAAACAATATATTTTAATTGGAAATACACAAAGAGAAGTGGTATTTAATTATGGGTTTATAAATGGTTCTAATTATATTCGGAGTTTTAGGATTCTAATTTTAGAATTTAATTGTAATCGATATTTCATCAGAACTTTAGGATTTGGGTTTTATTCCTAATTATGAGTTTTCTATACTAAAATGCTAATAATCCAATTATATAGTAATTTCAACTTGATGATCGTGAATTATATTTCCACGCCGAAAAAAACTATTATGTAGCTTTTACTATATTTTACTATTTTTTAATTAATTTGAACTATTATTTAATATCCAAATTGTCCGGAATTTTTTAGCTTTTCTCTTAAATCTAAACTTTCACTATTTCCAGAGCCAATTTATCTTTGAATTTACTAATTTTACTAAAATTTACTATTTTTACTGAGTAAATTTTACTAGTTTTATTAAAATTCATTGAATTCAGAGTACATATTCATAAAAAAAAATTCATTACGCTTTTTTTTTTAGTTTACATTTTTGATGTTTCTTTCAAATTTGACAATAGTTGAAACATTATCATTGAGTGTATTCATGTAAAGTATATATATAGACATCTCCAAGGATTTGATTATTTCTAGTGAAATCCCTTTAGGAAATACAACCGTTTCTGCCATCTTGGTAAATAATCCGGGGCCAGTCACTTTCAGGAAATAACGATCTTCACCAAGCGAGATCTTATCCAAATATTTGCCGTCACTGTTGAAACCGCCATGAGTTTTCTTTCCCTTTTTCCTTCTTTTTATATCTTCAAACCGCATATGCCTCGAAAAGATTATTACAAAAAACAATGATGCT